TTCTCGATCCTGTCACGGCTCTCTGCCGTGACAGGGGAGGCGCTGGATTCCCCGCTTCGATCCACCAGCGCTGACTGGCGGAACGGACGGGGGAGGGGGCGGGTACAGCTGGCTCTGCCTCTAGATAGGCAGAGCCAGCTGTCACTCACGCAGCTGGTCGGATCTCGACATCGATGTCGGGATCCGCTCCGGCTGCAGCGTCTCAGTATACCGCAAGCTGTAGCTTGCGGTATACTGAGCTTAGGGTGACGGGAGGACGCTAGTTTGTGTCCTCCCGTTACCCTAAGGAGAACTGTGAACTGAGTGAAAGGGTGATTAATTTAATTGGCCTGTTTTCAGAGTTATAGATAGATAATGTCAGGGCAAGCAAAATTGTGTTTATCCGTACATTCCACAGAAACCAGTTTGAGATGTTTCTAAAATGTTAGTCTTTGGAAATTGTATCTCTTATCTCTGTTTGTGTCTTTTAGTAGTTTACTTTGCAAATCCGCCAAGGTTGCCTCATGATCCTTACTAACTTGATTAGTTTTGTCTTCATGTGCATGAATTGAATTGGTTTATGCTCCACCATCCCCATTTTAGTTTCACATATAACCCTTTGCTTTAACAATAAACCTTTGAATATAGTGTGAATACACAATTTGGTGTTACTCTTTATTCCCAAGTACTTGTCTGAAGCTGGCAGCACGATCGAATCCCAGGAAATCTTAACAAGATACGTCCTACCTGAGGCGTGGGTTCAATTCCCACTAAGGGTTCAATCCCTTCAGTGTCCCTTTCCTGAGGGACCTTAACAGTGAGGAATAGTGTAATGGGTGGGTTCAGGGTTAAGGAAATGTGTTTTTTTGTTTTGTTTGTTTTTTTTAACTTTTTTTATTGTTATTACTGCTAAGTCCTACACTTAAAAATGCTAGCGCTGAAAAGTAATGTTCCTGCATTTCTTGCATATTTCCTTTAAAATTACATATATTTTTTAGGTGAAATACCCACCATCCTGAAAAATCTTTGCTAAGATGCTACAGAATTTTGATTTGCTTATTTTTACTTGTATAACAGATTTGGGGGAAAAATGAATGACTAATACCATGAGTCAGCATGAAATTAGGTCATTAGCGTATAGCACATGCCAGAACTCAAAGGTTTCTTAGGAGTAGGATAAAAAATGTGTATGTCTGCTGCATAGGAATACCTTCTACAAACCACCCTTATTTTAGGGACATCATTCATTTAAATATTATAGTGGTGGATAAAATGCCAAGAATGCTAAATGAAATAGGAGTTTAACCTTGAATGAAATAAATCTCTGTTTAAAATACAGCTGCAAAACTTGATTGTCAATTAGCATTATGTAAATTAAGAGAAAGAAAATCTCTGGTTGCAGAACTCAAGGTCGAGGAAGCAATGAATGGCGTAAGAATGGCGAGTGGAAAAAAAAAAGACAGTCAGGCACTCTTGTGAGAGCAACTTTGATTGGTCTACTAAAATGCTGTTTAACAAGAGGACAAACTTCATATTGTATGTATAAAAGCGAAAACAAGATGGTGTCTGTGTGTGTGTGCGTAAATACTGAGGAAGTTCTATTAATTGTATAAATAATGGTTGTAAGCCGACACATTTGGCCAGTAGTCCTATTACTCTCGGAGGCAACGGTTTACATTTGCTGTTGATACAATTAGTAAAACTGCATTTGTTGATAATATATGAAAGGATTTCGTGTTATGGGTAACTCTTAATCTCAAATTTCTCATAATTTAAAAAAGTAAAGACTGTGTATGCCAATTATTAGCATACTTTATAGGCAAAGAGAAAACGTGGTCACAGTTCATCTCTTGCCAAACAGGGATAGATGGACGGCTAACAGAGGTTGCTACGTTCTACAAAAAGTACTGCATAATGAAACTGACACCTCTGTGATCAAATATCGACAAATATTTTGTAAATTATCCAAAGATTTTGACAGGGCTACTATTCACTGGTATCCAAGAGCAATACATAAAGACAAATAAGCATAAAGAGCACAAAACATCGACCCTGGGAAATGCAAAAAAAGTATGAGTAATTATATATATATATATATATACTTTTTTTTGGTATTCACCAATACCGAATACTGATATTGGAAGTCCCATTAAGCAAGCCAGGCGGCGTGTAATGACTAGTGCCCAGCTTCCTGATTGGTCAGGAAGCCGGATCTATGTTCCCTTGTCACCAGGTGATGAGAGAGCATGAAGCTGGCTTTCTGGCCAATCAGGAAGCCGGTGGTTAATGACTCACTGCCTGGCTTCCTGATTGGCCCGCTTCCCGGCCAATCAGGAAGCTAGGAGCCGAGTCATTACACACCGTCCAGCTTCCTGATCGGCTCCATGCTCCCCCGTCACTAAGTGATGAGGGAGCATGTAGCCGGCTTCCTGATACCAGATACCATCTCGATAGGAGGACCCTGGAAAAACACCTTGTCCCCATGCCGAAGGGGACAAGGGCCTCTTCCCCACAATCCTGACCCGGTGGTTGTGGGGGTCTGTGGGCAGGGGGGCTCCTCTGTATCTGGGTACCCCTTTTTTATAAAGGGGGCACCCAGATGCCACCCCCACCTTGTGAATGAGTAAGGGATACTTGTACCTCTACTCATTCACTAAAGGGGTAAAAAAAAAATTTAAATTAACTCACAACACCTTAGAAAAAAAATTATTTAATTGAACAGAAAACAAAACCCAAATTTTTGACAATTCTTTTATTTAAAACAAATTTTAAAAAAATTTCCCAACAAGTCATTCCAGTATCGTCCGACAATCGGGGAAAAAACATAAACTCCCCGATGCAATGTTTACATCGCGCAGTGGGCAGAAATAAACAAAGCTAAATCTGGATGTAATACAACTAATCAATAAAAAGAAACTGCCATTTAAAAAATATAAGATGGAAGGGACAGCACTGATCTTCCAGAACTACAAGGAATGCAATAGAAAATGTAAAAGTTCAATCGGGGCAGCTAAAATAGAGTACAAAAAATTTATTGCAACAGTTAGCAAAAAAACCCTAAAACATTCTTTCAATACATAAACAGTAAAAAGGTAAGAAAGGAACAGGTGGGTCCCATAAAGGATGAGAATGGGCGGTTGATTACAAATGACAAGGAAATGGCCCAAGTGTTAAATGCATTCTTCTGCACAGTATTTAATCGGGAAAGCGAACGTGTTTAACTGCACTGGATGAAAATACCACTGTGGCTGATGGGAGCTAGGGTTCGCTGCGGACTAGAAAAACGTAATGTGAATATATCCCCTGGACCAGATAACATGCACCCATGGGAACTTAGAGCTAAGTACGATAATAACGAGGCCATTGTTCCTAATCTTTAATGACTCCATACTAACTTGGGAGACACTAGTGTAAAGCAACTGTTGTACAAATATTTAAAATGGGTTTGAGAAGTGTACCTGGGAATTTTAGACCAGTCAACTTAACATCCAAAGTATGCAAGGTTTTGAGGGTATGATAAAGGACCATATTCATGAATATGCTGATGGGCATGATATTATAAATGACAACCAACATGGCTTCAGGAAAGACTGTTCGTGTCAAACCAACCTATTAGTGTTCTATGAGGAGGTGAGTGGCAACCTAGATGGATGAAAGCCAGTGGATGTAGTGTACCTTGATTTTGCAAAAGCATTTGATACGTTACCTTATAAACGTTTAATTTACAAGCTTCAGTCTTAGGGCATTGATGAAATGGTGTGTACATGGATAGAGAACTGGCTAAGTGAACGTGTCCATAGAGTATCAATAAATGGCTCATTTTCCAAGTGGTCCTTTGTTGAACGTGGCATGCCCCAGGGTTCTGTCTCGGGGCCATTGCTGTTCAACCTGTTTATCAATGATTTTAGGACTGCTATTAATAGCAATATTAAAATATTTGCTGACGATACCAACATGTTTAGGGTAGTAAACCTGACAGAAGACCTAGAAATATGACAGGAAGATCTGGACAAAATAAGTGGGTGGGCAGCTACATGGCAAATGAGGTTTAATATTGAGAAGTGTAAGGTTATGCATTTTGGAGTTAAAAATATGAAAGCGACCTACTCATTAATGAGCATTCCACTGGCCTAACCCTAGTGGACTTTTGCCTTAGTAACAGCATGCAAAGCCAGGCAGCAGCAAATAAGGCGAGCAGGGTACTATCATATATAAAAAAGGGAATGTACTGTAAAGACTAATCCATAAATCTGCCCCTGTACAAAACACTGGTCCGGCCACATCTTGAGTATGCGTTTCAGTTTTGGTCACCGATCCACAGAAAGGATGTCCTTGAGCCTGAGAGAGTCCAGAGAAGGGTGTCAAACCTAATAAAGGGGTTAGTGAACCTAAACTATGAGGAAAGACTGCAGGCGTTATACTTTTTAGCTCTGGAGAAGAGGAGACTGAGAGGGGACATGATATTAATGTACACATTGTTTAATGGTGATGGAATAATCAGTGTTTACTGTCCATTCAAGAATACAAGAGGCCACCACCTGAAACTGGCAGAGAGAAGGGTTAATTAAACAGCGAAGGGGATTCCTTGCTGTGGGAGCTGTAAAATTGTGGCACTCACTTCTACAGGCAGTGGTATCAGCTGAGTATGGAATCATCTAGAACTATCTAGATACTTTCCTCAGCAGACAAGATATACAGGGTTACAGGTAGTCTTAGTAACAAACGCACACACACACAAAACCCAAAGGTTGAACTCGATGGACCTGTGTCTTCAACCATAACAACTATGTAATGTAAAAAAACTATGTAATATGGCCAATTGTACCATATGATCTATTTCTGACCCAAATTCCAGGTTTACAGCACTCATGGAACCAAACTGAACATCATTGAGCCTTAGAGAGAGGTTCTGGAGTCCTGACTGCAATGTAGACCTCTACTTATTTTGTTAATGGGTTTAACTGTTCTAGTACTTTGTTATGATACCCTTCCAGTACACTAATTCTATGCTTTACTTCTAGGAACTCTTTTTGTGTGACTCTCCTGGGAAGGCAATGTTTTATGAGATGACAGAAATGTTGGTGAGTCCTTTTTTTCCATTTGCCATTTCAGTAGAAAACCTGAATGAAAATAAATGACAAAGGTATGCAGTATGGTATCACCACATATTTGGGTGTTGGGTGTGAAAACAAAAACCATAAATGTGAAAGCCAAAGTGATGAAACTACTCTTCCATTAAGGTTTTCTATTTATGTTACTGTGATATTTCCAGAATAAATAATTTTTTTGCAAAAGAAAAGAATTAAGAGGTCAGTGGTCTGTGTGACAGATTTTAATAATGTTTTGAATCTTGATCCATTATCCATCCAGCGCATGTGCTCCTTTTTCAGGTTTAGGGAAACTGTATTTAGCATATTACTGCTGACTCTCCAGGCTCTCAGCATTCCTCCATAACAACTGTACCCGGCTCAGAGTAACACGAGTATAACCAGGTATCTGCCTACGACCATATTCTTCATCAACTACACAGATTTTCTATTTTAGATGTTGGAACCCAGAAAGCCCATTATATACCTATAGAGTGTGCTCTAGCTTCAGCAGCTGGCCGACCTGAACAAGGGGAAACTGGGTGATTGATCAGCCTTTTTTTGGTTGGTCTGGAGCTTTCCTTTTAAAAGATTAGTGCACTGCGTCATTGGAAGAATGTAGGAAATGTAATTTTGCACTGCAAATATACTCTGTAGAATAGACTTAATTATTATTGTATTTGGGCCAGTGTCAATGTCAGACTTACGACTACCAACGTATTCTTTAAACATTCATTATATAGTTTATGATGGTACATTTTTATGTCGTATTTGTTTTTCAAAGCAGCATTCAGGTTGATCTCCAGTATTATCAATGATACCTGCAGCATTAAATCATAGATCCTTATAATACCATGGCTTTTGGTGAACTGTTTAAAGGTTTCTATGGGATGAAAAGAGACCTAGTGGTATGTAGAAGGGAATTTATCAAAACTGGAGAAGACAAAATCTGGAGTAGCTGTGCATGGCAACCAATCAGCTTCTCTCTTTTATTTTCAAATCTTAACAAACTGAAGAGATAAGCTGATTGGTTGCCATGCACAGCTGGTCCAGATTTTGTCTGCTCCAGTTTTGATGAATTCCCTCCACAGTATTCTGTGTATGTTGGCATTTTGTTTTAACAAAAGCGAATAAAAATGTCAAAGCATACCTGTTTACTGGTAGTCCGTGTCCTCACTTTGGGTAGAACATACCAGCAAGAAATTACTTTAGGTTTCAGTGCATAGAACTGAGCATATGGTGAGGAAATACAGGCGTCTTGTGTCAACTTCCTGCATTGTACACTCACTTCACTGGCCTTTAGAGGGCACCATCTTCAATTTATGTCCCCTGAGTGGGGACATAAATGAGGCCGTGTGCATGTTAATGACAGGATGCCCACAGGGATCGTATTAATGGTGTGCTGTGCTTTTATCTTGTCAGTGGGACCAGCCTGGTGCTTTGTGCTTAGTATTTGACGTAACCAGTGAGACATCTTTTACTGGCTGTTCAAGGTGGCTACAACGAGTGAAATCCAAGACTATGAGCCCTCACCTGCCAGGTTAGTAAAAACCACCAACTTCATTTTGCACATCTTATTGCTATAGTGCTTCTCTGTTATCTCTAATATTTTTTTGTGATTATTACATTTGATACCTATGCGTACAATTTCTATGATATATGGTTTCATATTAAGATTGGTCTTTGCAAACCAGACTTCTGTCTTGCTATCCTATCTTTAACATTTGGCATATTTTTAACAGAATATCATGCAATCCAAGTATTAGCCCAAATAAAAGTAAATGTTCCCACCAATCAAGTTGTGTGCCGGCCTCAGATTGTAGCTTCATTGTGTTCCTGCTTTGGAGGCATACCTGCTGCTGGGAATTGATTAAAGCCTGCGCTAGATCACTCAGAAATGAATGTAATAAATTGTGTCAGTCACAAACTATACAGACTAGTGACTTTTCTTTTCTATAGAGTGCTGAAGTCATATGATAGATGGCACCATCAAACTTCTTGCAAACATTGTCTTCTTGCAGAAGAAACAACAACAAACTTTTATCATAATTAGTCTTGTGACTGTTTTGGGACCATGAAGGGTCCATTTTTCAGTACAAGTGGCCAAACAAATGTCCTGTGTGCTTCCAAAACATTGACAGGTTTGTGATTTACTAGGGATGAGGTTCGAGTATACAGCGAAACAGGGTTGTCCAGGAACTCTGGCTGTTCTCAGTTTGCCAAACAGTGTGCCCACCTGCCGGAAGTGAACCTCCAGCTGCTGCAGGAAGTCATTCATTTTTTTTTCTTTCTAAAAATAGATCTTACTGGCTACTTCATGTGCAGGTTTATGGCATCCCCCAGGAATTTTATTTAAAGGAGAACTGAGGCGAGTGCTTTTCACTCAGCTCATAGTTCTAGCCGACCTGTGACAATGAGACTGTCACAGGTTGGCTCAGTAGATCGGGAGGTGAGCGAACATATAACGGCTTTCGCTCACCTCTCTATCCTGTCACGGCTCTCTGCTGACTGGCGGAACGGACGGGGTGGGGGCGGGTACAGCTGGCTCTGCCTCTAGATAGGCAGAGCCAGCTGTCACTCACGCAGCGGATCTCAACATCGATGTCGGGATCCGCTCCAACTGTGGCGTCTCAGTATACCGCGAGCTGTAGCTCGCGGTATACTGAGCTTAGGGTAACGGGAGGACGCTAGTTTGTGTCCTCCCCTTACCCTAAGGAGAACTATGGGGAAAAGCCCTGACCCCATAGTTCTCCTTTTTAAAGGAAATTTGTATTTTTAATGTTACCTTTTTAGCTGCGTTCTGCTTCAGCATTGTAATGTCTACCAGGGCAGTGCCCAGCTACCTGTACCCTTTGTTTGACAAAACCTATTAGCCTTGAAAATGGAGAAAACTGATTTTCAATTTTTGGACCCATACCTTGAACACACTTGCAAATGAATCCCAAGGAAAATCATCCATCACCAGTGATGACTCATGCTAATTGAATTTAAATTTGTATTCCTCTATAGAATTTGAGCATGCATCTCCTGTTCACGCTTTTAAATCCACAACTTTAACTTGGTGACTTTTGATGAACTTCTGCTGTAAAGTGGAATGATGTTCTGAGTGCGGTCTTTCCATTCTACATTGAGCATAAAGAATTGCTAGAATTTTTCTTCTGGTTGTTTTTTTGTTTTGTTTTTTAGCTCTGGTGTGCACCCTTGTATCATTTTATCAGGAAATGGCTACTGCTCCAGCATTAATCAATTAAATTTACAGCAGTAGAACATTACAGCAAATCTAATTGGCTACTGCTCCAGCATTAATCAATTACATTTACAGCAGTAGTACATTACAGCAGTGTGATTCACATAGTAGCTAAGTATTACATAAGCCTTTGTGTTACATTCCAGTAGTATATTCTGTTGATGCAAAGCATCCCAAGGAATGGGGGAAAAAGTTTCATCTAAAAGCTGGAGGTTAACTACAGCTCTATGGTGAAGATACATAGCAAGCAAAGAACAACTTAGGATTATGTTGATTATCAGTGACGTGCCGTGCCTTCTGTTCTGGGTGAGGCATTCCCCAGCCCGGTCCCCCAGCCTGCTGAAGCTCCACCCTGTCCCGCCAAAGCTCTGCCCTAAGCTAAGGGGCCTCCCTGTCCCTCAATGCTCATCACTGGTGAGTCATCGAGATCGATGTCCTCACTGTTTTTTGTTTTTTTTTGATTGGACTGCTTGGACCAATGGCACTTTGCCATTGGCCCAAACCATCCACAGAGCTCACGCCTCTAACACAGAGTAGAGGCTGTGACAGCTCTTGCCTCACCAAGTTAGGTTACACAATGTGGTATTGTGTGGCAATCCCACTGTAGAATTGGATGTGACACTGGGACTCTTAGCCAGATGGGCTGAGACGTGTCAGGAAGCAAGGGATTGTCTGAATTCTGCTTGGCATCCTGGAACTGGGAGGTTTCAAGGGGATTCTGGCGGAAAGATGAGATCCTCAGGCCTAGATCCAGGCTTTAGCAGTGGCCAGCACCCGATGATTGCACAGGTGTGCACAATCCTTAAGGAAAGGGTGCTGGCTAGGGGAATTAGCTCCTGCTGGGAAAGAGGAACAGACCGTGTTCAGGTGTCAGGAGAACACCCCCAGAAGTCAGAGAGGAGTCGGTGGTGAGTGTGCTGGAAGCACACTAAGACAGCCAGGGAGGCTGGGAGAGAACTGGTGAGGCTAGGAGAGCCGTGAGCCTGAGGGACCACCAGTACAAGTGTGGGACAGCACTTCAAAGAGGACCAGTGGGTCAGAAGTGCCAATGTTTAAAGTGGAAGCCAGGAGGCTATTCTTGTGTTGCTCTAAAGCCTTTGATGAATGTTACGCTGAACAACCCTTGCGTGGGTATCCAAGCTGGATATATGAACTTTGTGTTGAATAAAAGTGGGCTACCGAGCCCTTAAACCAAAGATATTGCGAGTAGACTGCATTCTTAAGCGCTCACCATATGTGCATATACTCTGAACATCACAACAAGCAGTGGGGAAGCCCGCTGCTGTGTAACCTAACTACCTGTCAAAAACCGGATGCAGGGCCGCCTGTAATTAACAGGTAACTCTCCGTCCATGACAGGCTTTCCCTGCTGTGTAACCTGTTAAAATCTGATCTGAATGGAGAAAAAGCTGTCAGCTTCATACTTGAAGCTGACACCTTTTTTCTTCATAATACTCGATGAGGCTCTGCCTCCCCTGACTGCACGTCCCTGATCTTAGGCTCCTTTCACACAGTCAGTGCATTCAGATTTGTCTGTCGGTTTTTCAGACGGATCTGATCAGAAGCCCAATGTAATTCTATGGGCACTTGGATGTAAACGTTGTGTGTTCGTTTTAGATCCAATTACCACTGACTCTTTAAAGCTCCATCACAAGATGGTGGAAAAAACTGAATGGACACAAATGTCACATGAGTGACATCCGTTCCGTACTGGTCCGATCAACTGGGAATCTGTACATGGATCCCCTGCTGACTGGAAAGAACACTGCCCATTTAAAAGGGGCCCTATTTTTACTATGCCATTGGAAGTGAAGACTAATTTGCAATTCGTCTGACATTTACCGTCAATTTTCAAAATGTTTTTTCTAATGGCTGCTTGAACAAGCAAAAAGCATGCTATGACAGAAATATATTACTACTGGACAAATTTGCCTTGGGCCCTCCGGCTTTTAGGAAGTACCTGGGACTGCTTTTAGGTGGATTCTCCAAATCGGAATACTTACAGGTCCATACTATCTAGCGTAGCCTCACTTTTACGCTTTTTTCCACTATTACCCTTTTCTAAATAACCGACCTTCTCACACTATCATGGAGAGTAATCCAAAAGACCCAAGACACTCACACAGAAACCTTTTTTTTTACCTTTTGTGGTTCGGCCATAGATGAGGATAAGGACAGGATGTAGCTTTATCAATGGAACACACGTTTTACCTGACGACAGTTCTGTGACTTCACGCAGAACTTCAGACAGTGACCCACTGAAGTGGCCGAAGAATGTTAGCCTACAGCCCACTTTCAATCACTCCTAATAATTAAGGAAGATATGGATGTGTATCCTTTTTTTTCCCCCCCACAATGATGTTCTAAATTTGCTTCCGTTGTCTCTCTTTGCTTGCTGGTTCCCATTTTCTATTCATTATTTTACCTTCTGTCTCGGTAGTATTGGTCCAGATCCATTGCTTATCTCTCCTTCTTTCTCATTAGGAGTTCTGGTGGCAAACAAAACAGACCTAACTGGCCGCAGAGTGGTGGAGAAGAATCAAGCTGAAGAGTGGGCAGTGAGCCACGGACTGGAGTATTTTGAGACATCCGCGGTAATTACATCTTGTGTATAAAGCAGATAAGCGATACAAACTATTCTTGGCTGCATTCAGTACCAAACAGCTGTCGATCTCAAGAACTGTTCTTCTACCTTTTTGCTTCTCTACATAAGAGAGTTTTGATAATCCACCCTTTTTCTGTCAGTTAATCTGGTGTTGGCAGCATCAACTTTCCGTAGCTAATTATGCCATCGCTGTTTTAGAATACATTTGACTTTTTCCCCAAACTAGGGCATGGATCTTTATATAGAGATGTGGTAAATACATTTTTGTTTGGTGAAATTAACTCTGTGATTAAGTTTGGGCAATATTTACCATTTATTCTTTCATCCATTTGTTCCCTATTTTTTTTTTCCAAAGAGGTGCTGCATTTTTTAGGAATTATAACAAATTATATGATCTCAACCTGCTAAGGCCCCTTTCATACTGGCGGTCCAATCAGGTCCACCTGTCAGTTTTTCAGGCGGACCCGATTGGATGCCCAGTGTAAGTCTGAGGGCAGCCGGATCTAAACGGAAGATCGCCCGTTTACATCCGGTTACCCCCCGGCTTTGGCCAGGTCCAGAAAAATAATCGGAAGTGTTCTGTTTCCCCGGACCTGATCGTGCCGCATCAGGGGTATTATGATGTAAACAGACACAAGTCCATTTACATCTGATTCCCCATAGACCGACATGGGGTCCAGTCATTTCAGCTTTCTCCTCCATCGCAAGATAGAGGGGAAAATTGGATGGACACAGATGTCACAACGATGATATCGATCCGCACCACTCTGATCAGGAGGAGATCTGTGCACGTATCCCCTCATCGGACAGTGTGAAAGGGGCCTTAGTTTCAAATCTCCACTCAAAGGAGAACTTCTCCTAAGGGTAACAGGAGGACACAAACTAGCGTCCTCCCGTCACCCTAAGCTCAGTATACCGCGAGCTACAGCTCGCGGTATACTGAGACGCCGCAGCTGAAACAGATCCCAACAATTATGTCTGGATCCGCCCAGCTGCATGAGTGACAGCTTGCTCTGCCTATCTAGAGGCAGAGCCAGCTGTACGCGCCCCCTCCCCTGTCCGTTCCGCCAGTCAGGGCTGGAGGATCGGAGCGGGGAGGGGGGAATCCAGCCACTCCCCTGTCACGGCTCTCTGCCGTGACAGGATTGAGAAGTGAGCGAACACCGGTATGTGTTTGCTCACTTCCCGATCTACTGAGCCGACCTGTGACAGTTTCATTGTCACTTGTCGGCTAGAACTATGAGGTGAGTGAAAAGCACTCACCTCATAGTTCTCCTTTTAATGTATTAATACTAATTTATAGAGGGGTTCCCCACTGTTTCTGAAAGAAGCTGCTAAATCGTTAGGAGTTGTTTTATCCCTCTTTTCTACCTCCACCCCTTGCTGAAAAGGTAAGTGGGTGAGCAGATGGATGGCTCTACACTTTTTGCTTTTGTAAGTTTGGTTAAAAGAGAATTGTCAAAGTGTTTATTTCAAAAACACATTGATTTCATTGGGGTTCCAAAGACATGCTGTGCTGCACTTCTTCTTAGACAGAAACATCCAACACATTTCTATTGATGTAATCCTATTCTGTCCCACGTCATTCTGTCAGTGTGATATTGCTAACAATAAGGAAAACGGGATGTGATCCCAGGGACTGACTATTGTGCAGATCTTTGTAAACCTTGATAAAGTCTAGATTGTAAAAACGCATCTCTGGCCAAACAGTAGTAATTTCCAAATGAATTTTTATAGCTTGCCCTTCCAGCCATTTAAGCATTCCATATATTTAGCTAATGGATAAATGAAAGTTAAGAAACTGATTGTTAAACATTTATATTTGATGTTGACCTGAAGACTTACAGCAGTGTGATGTCATTGCAGAAGGAGCTGGAAAACTATGATCAGCCATTTCGAGCACTGGCAAAAGCATTCCATCGTTTGTACCAAGAGAGAGTGGAAGGGATCAGAAATCTTGCGTAGAGCCAAACTGTCTTTTTCAAGCTGGAAGATTGTGGGACTACAAGGAAAGACTAGTTATATGCATTGTCTGTCATACAATCTTTATTATTGTTGTGGATCAGAAAATGACATGTTAAAAATTATAGCAAAAATATATTTTTATATATTTTTTTATTGTATTGTTACCTTTCCTTTTACTTCAGGAGTGGATTTTTAATTTATTTAACAGTGAAACGTTAGTATTGTTCCTGTTTCCCACCCACCCTGATCAGATGTATATAGTATATTGCAAGTATTTTGGAAAACATTATTGCAGATTCCCATCTAGTTTAAAATGTATGTTTAGCCAAAACCTTTTTTTGTTTTGGATAGAATAGAGAAAATAGGATATAACTCCTGCCAGATTACTTTTTTCTTCCTCAGTACCATTGACAAAATATTCCTTCACTTCCCGTCCCGGAGTTGCAACAGGTAGATACTTGTTCTGGGGACAACTCTAAAATTTTGAATTTCCCCTCACTGTATGTCTTGGTGATAATGTTCACTAGTACAAATAAAGGCTGAATCTCCCCATTGGGACACATAACGCAATATCAACGTGACCAAACATCTAACCCTTCCTGACTATGCAAAACGAAGGAAAAATTATACACTTTATTTCTGAAAACATCACGCATTGCTTTCTTCTGCTAATTATTTTCACAAAGGTAGTGTCAAGTGTGAGGTTTTGCATTTACTACAAACTTGTACACATTCCCCAGAGCTGTATGACTTTGACAAGTTGCAAAGTAACATGTGGAAATAATGCAAATGCAGTAAACTCCCCCAGCTACAGAGGACTACAAATCACAGCAATAGTACATTATAGTATAATGTACTATTGCTACATTCCTCTATAGCTGCTGGTATTCTGCACTGCGCCGCTGTATAATGTACTATATTGCACACCACACTTTTTTTTACTTCCACCGCTCCAAGCTTGCTCCCGTGATGGACTACAATCTCAATAGAAACTAGTAGTCCATCACTGGAGCTTAATAATCGGCTAACTAATCGATTATGAAAATAATCGTTAGCTGCAGCCCTAAAATTGACCCTGGCAAGCAACTAGAAAAAACAAATTCTGCTGTATCACGAGTTTACCTTGTGATTGGACAATATTATGATCAACGAAAGATTATCCAGTATTCTGAAAGATACTCATGCCAAGTTTTTAAAGGTCTGGGAACCTTGGGTGTTATACCACCACCCTGAACTACGTGGAAAAACCCTTAGACATCTCTAAGAGACCACCCCTGTGTCGTGGGGAGCGCCCCCTCTAGTCGGCAGCAGACAGAGGACTTACTGAATTGATTAATTGTAACCAATTTGTACTTTTATATTCATTTTGATCTGTGTAAGCCAACTGTACCGAACTTATTTATGAAAATCCAATAAAATACTTTGTTACAAAAAAAAAAACGCTGCCACTGGACTCTAGAGGAGTGGAGACGTGTTCTCTGGAGTGACGAATGACACTTCTCTGTCTGGCAGTCCGATCGACGTGTCAGGGTTTGGCGGTTGCCAAGAGAACGGTACTTGTCTGACTGCATTGTGCCAAGTGTAAAGTTTGGTGGAGGGGGGGGGTTATGGTGGGGGGTTGTTTTTCAGGGGTAAGGCTTGGCCCCTTAGTTCCCGTGAGGGAACTCTTAAGGCATCAGCATACCAATACATTTTGGACAATTTCATGCTCCCAACTTGGTGGGAACAGTTTTGGGGTGGCCCCTTCCTGTTCCAACATGACTGCACACCGGTGCACAAAGCAAGGTCCATAAAGACATGGATGAGCGAGTTTGGGGTGCAGGAACTTGACTGGCCTGCAGAGAGTTCTGAGCTCAACCCGATAGAACACCTTTGGGATGAATTAGAGCGGAGACTGCGAGCCAGGCCTTCTCGTCCAATATCAGTACCTGACCTCACAAATGCGCTTCTGGAAGAATGGTCAAACATTCACATAGACACACTCCTAAGAGTTGAAGCTGTTATAGCAGCAAAGGGCCAACTCAATATTGAACCGTACGGACTAAGACTGGGATGCGTGTAAAGGCAGGCGTCCCAATACTTTTGGCAATATAGTGTAGATCTATCCTTGTGATGTCAAACAGATGATACATAAGAGGACATCACTCCAATAAAAGACAGCAAAGTCTACAGCTGGCCATACACTGGTAGATGTAAGTATTTTAAAATCTCGAAATGTTAACATTTCATTAGAACATTCGATAATGCCATCAGAGACTTGTAGAAGTTTAAAATGTTTCCTTTTAAATATTAGATCTTGGAACAAGTTCTCAAACGAAAAAAAAAAACAATCACACAAAAGAAATGAACATGAATCCATATTATGGTGAAACTGCTTTGCAAAAGTTACAAATGACAGGCCCAGGACAACCCTTGCAATGGATATGCAATGCAATTAAGACTCCCATTCTGACATCTTGGTTTTGATATTTTTCTGAGGAATTGGGCTGGTATTAGAAATATATTATAACTGTACACTATATGTAGATGTATTGGACAGAATGAGCAGTGGAGCAGCAAATGCAATGCTTTTATGAAAAGAATAGTAACTCACTAAGACAGGCCAGTTTGAGGTGTGTGCTCAGTAGATGTAAAATAAATGGGCTGTCATTGCCTAACGCACTTTAACGCAAAACATTAAGCTGTGTGCTATTGAAACCAGCCTGAGGGCTCATTCACACCATGTCCGGACCAGATCTGGAAACAAAAGTGCGGCGCATTTGTGAGTGCTTTTTGG